GTCCCCCCAACCCAGCAGCTACAGGCAGCAGCTCTAAGGCAGCTTTGAAACCCCGGGTCACAAGCTCGGTTTGCTCAAGCCTGTCTTTCATTATAAAATAAAACCTCTGCAGTCTTTTACAGCAGAGCAATATTGCAATTGCGAGCGGCAGCAATTGAGGCCATTACTGTCGAATGCCACAGGACGCCGGTGGCACACTACCCATTACCGCCCGGGGAGCCCGAGAGAACAAGCGTGGGAAGCAACGCTCCTGCTCCAGCCCCTTCTCCTCCGCTTGTTTAGATCAGTTACCGCCTGAAAAATATGTCACGCAAAGCTACCGAGCTCACAGAAAAAACACGCCATGGGAACAAGCCCCCATAATAAATACCGAAAAATACAAGCAGGTAGTTGAGACTGAGAGCCCCGATCTGGTGTTTCCCTGCCCGACACAACGCAGGCGGTGAGGACAGCGTGCTGGCAGCAGCAGTGGGAAGATGCCCACCTAGTCGAAAACCACTTGTACCGAAGGTGGACACCGGTCCCAGCTGAGCGGTGCTGCCCGGGGCGCTCAGGCTCTTGGCTTTCTCGTTGCCTGTCTCCTACGAGCACGTGTGGGATGCTCTCAGCCTTTTGCTGAGGACGATTGCACACCCATCCCACCAAGTCCGCTGTCACGTCAACCCGGGCCTCCCAGTATCATACTGGGACGAGAGCCACTGGGGCCGTCTCAGAGGTGGGTATTGTCAATCCCAGCCCCAGCCCTCAGGATCGGGCCCCGCTGCCTGCACTCACACTGCACCGTCAGGTAGGCAGAGGCTGATGGCGAGCGGCCCAGGCTGTTGCTGGGGATACAGGTGTATTTTCCAGCATCCTCTGGCTTGACGCGGAAAATGATCAGCGTCCCGTCGATCAGGATCCGCACCCTCAGCTTCAGGTCGCTGTGAGAGAAGAGGGGAGGACGATCGCGGGGAGACCCGGGGGGCAACGCCCACCTCGGCGGCGGCCCCAGCACGATTTGGGAGCGGGAGGAGGAGGACGCATCGCCCCACGGGCTGCAAACTCACTTCTTGAAGTAGACGTTCTCCTCCTCCCAGTACCACAGGTAGGTGAGGTTCCCGGGGTACGCCTCGGCCTGGCAGGTGAAGAGCGCATCCTGGGAGATGTTGACCGTGATGTTCTCCGGAGGGGAAACGATGAAAGGAGGTCCTGGGGCGGGGGCAGAGAGAGAAGTGTCACCCCCGCCAGTACGGGTGTCCCCACAGAGGGTTGCTCAGGCTCAGCTCCATCCCAGCACCCTTGGCTGGGGGCTGTCGGAGGGCTCCGGGGCAGAGCTGGCCCCGATCCCCCGATCACGGGGCTGCCCTCGAGGAGCACTGTTATTCCCAGCTCCTTCTCCCCTCTCAACCCCTGCAGCTTTGGGGAGGGGGCCCTGCACCCATGGCGCACAGCTCTGCTTCTCCCAGGGCACGGGAGCTCACACCTCCCTTCATCCCAAACACGTTTCCAGGAAAAATCCAGGGGGGAAAAAAAACCAGCAAACTGCTGTGAGCTTGTGAACCTCCACAGCTTGCCACCACGAAGGAAAGCAGAGCAGAGGACACCCCACGCTCCCCTCTCTGCCAGTAGCTCTTGACCTAATTAAAGTTTTATTAAATGAAAGAGGGAGCAAGGAGCGGGAGGCCTGCCATGCATCACCACTCTCTGACAAGGCGCTTTGTGACAGCCTCGATCTTTTTCCCCGCTTCCCGAGCTGCCATCGGGGCCCAGTCGTTCATCGGCACGGCCGCTTCGG